TGGAGCAAAAAGATGAGAATGATGGGAGTTTTAGTGGTATTTGTATGTCTTGATCCTATTATTGACTTTCCAGAGCTCTAGTCACAATTATATCACGAGACATTTGGTGATGAAGGAAAAGGGAAAGGTAGATGATGGTTTCAGTCGAAGGGAGCTAGATTGAGCTTTTGGAAAGGAGTGGAAAAGGGTAAGATAAGTTTAGATATCTATTAATTATAATCAATTAAATTCATAAAAAAATTATAGCTACTTAATATATTAATAGCTATATCAAAACTATTTAAAAAAATTAAATTACTTATAAAAATTTAAATGATTTAATGAAATTCTAAATTACTACAAAATAGTATGATAAATAACAAATTAATTATGAATTCATAAATATTAGACTGTTATTTAAAAAAAACCTAGTTTAACCAAATTTTTATATTGCTCAGCTAATTTAGTGAATAATTAATTATTTATTAGCAGAATCAAATTTTAATTTAATTTAATTTAACTTAATAATTATGTCATTAATATGTAATATTTAATTTATTTTTGAACTACATATTGAAATCTTGGAATCAAGTAATATTAAGAGCATTGATTATTTAACCTAATGAATAATTACCTAAAAGATTTACTTTTTTATTAGCATAATCAAAATTTTAATTTAATTTAATTAAACTTAATAATTATGTCATTAATATGTAATATTTAATTTATTTTTGAACTACATATTGAAATATTGGAATCAAGTAATATTAAGAGCATTGATTATTTAACCTAATAAATAATTACCTAAAAGATTTATTTAATAATCTAATTAAAGATTAAAATATAGCTCAACACAGCCAAAAAAATTTACAGGGCATCACTGCAAAAGCACAAGGAACTAAATTCCATTCCGCTGTAATAAAAGAGCAGTAAAAACATTGTCAATAGCTGACGACAGATACATTATTGCATTAAGCCATTGCATCACATAATGCAGGGAAAAAAGTGCAAAGAATTTTTTCAAACCTTGAGTCTATGATCACCTCCAACGATCTTGATGCTGAGAACATGTTCGTTGTCATCAAGGAACTCTAGTCTCTCCATAGAAGTGGTTGCAGGCAATCCGGACTTAACATTCACTTCTCTAACACTCCCAATCTCCATATTCCCCTGCACAACACACCGGCTAATGAACGGCTTGTACTTCTGCGGCTGATCAAATCTTCTCACCAAAGACCAAACCTGCCGACACGTTTAAAACATAAACACCCACAAACTTGACAAGAATTTAAAACTTGAGTTTCAAGAAGAATCACCCTACTTAGAGGGAAACCCCCTAAACAACAAATAAATTCAAAACCCGCTTCCTCAAACAACACATTTCTAACAATTCCATTTACAACAACATCAAAGAAGAAATAACAAGAGATCTTCAACAAAACCAATTCAGAATCGAAACACTATAAAGAACAAGCTCTCACAAGATGAACCGGAGATTTGATGTGCTTGACAAGAAAAGAGCTGCACTGATTCTCTTTAAGATCATGGCGGTGGTGCCTCATGACGTACTCCGACTCCAACTGCTTGTTTTCATCAGCAAACATCTCACCGGACCACCAATTCTCCCCGCCGCCGGCCGGATCTCCACTCCGAGCCGCTCTCCGACAATCCCCGATCATTAGGAAGCGCACAAAACACAGCTCCTCGAACCCCTACCCTCTCTATCTCTTTATCGCTGTCTTCTCCACAGTAAATGATCGTTTCTTCCGCCGTTTCCTGCAAGAAAACACAAAAAGTTACCAACTAATCGGACACCATATTTTTATATGCGGGTACTGAGTAATGAACGGTGAAGATCAAGCTCAGAGAATGATCGATGATAGATAGTGGTGAATGTATAAAATTTATATGCGGACGCTTGCATAGTAAGAATACACTACCACTCGATCCTATCTTCATCCAATTTGAATTACTATAATAGCCTTAAAGAAGTAGTGGAACGCCAGTACGCACGCCGCCCTAGAAGTTTCTAATGAGTGTCACTCGCGGTAATGTTACCGCACCAGCAGATGATTTCCGCGTTCCTGCAATTGAGTGAGCAAATATCCGAATCCGACGATTGGTCATTGGCCCCGTCGGCCGTGGGGGTTCAAAGCATTAAATTAGTAATTTTAAATAAGTTAATTTTAATGCTTATTTTAAAAAAAATATCTGCCGACGGTTAGTCCAATCAGAATATAGGACGGTTAAAAAGCGAGATATTATAATAATTCATTTTGGGAGAACTTCGGGCTGACGGCCCGCGTGGTGACCCAATGGCGAAGAATTTGAAGTGCAAAGATTTAGTGGCTCATAATAAAAAAATCAATGCGTACTTTCATCGTAAGTAGAAATGCATACAGTGAACAAATCAAAATCTTTTCTATCAAAAAGATGTATGTTAGTGTGTCCTAATTTAAATTAAAATTTTTTTTTTCTAATTGGACAGCGCACCACAACCAATTAGAAATATGATTTTAAGAATCATATGGTATAATTTATTATTCATCATTTTCAATAAAAAAATAATAAACAAAAGTTAGTCCTAATTTAATTTATTTTGATGCTCTAATATTCCTCTTAATGACATACTTAAAGACTTACAATAATTCATCAACTTTATTGGCATTAATACATGATTATCTATTACAATTATTAGAATTGCACTTACCTGTGCATTTATATAATCTCTTAGAAATACCTATTGTGATTCGACTCTTTAAAATTAGTCATGCTTTAAAGGTCAATCAAATAGCCAAATAAGATTAATCAAGGTGAGAAACCTACGACACAATTTTGATATCACGAAAGGTGGGTGAAAAAGCAGAAAAAAGTGTTTGTCAAGTCTCATCTCCATTTGATGATCTATTACACTCCTTATGTACTACAACTATGACAATGAGAATGGGGTAAACTTGGGTATGCTAGGAGTACCTTCTAAAACAATTGCAAATAATATTAAATTTAATGGTGGAGCATTAAAGTGTGATTTTATGTTTGTTAGAATTACACAATGAACTTGGATAAATGCTTGTCAATTGTGAAGGCTTTGAATGGATCTTAGTGATTCTACCATTCATGGCCGAACTAAAAATTCATTTGCATGACCTAAACTATTATAATTTAATTTTTACATGGGCTTGTTTATCAAGCAATTAAGATGCCAAAGTTAGGTGTAGCCTAAGATTTTTAGTTAAGTTAACCATTGATTGATTTGGCATATAATTTTTCTAAACCCTACTAGCTATTATTTTAACTCTCATAGGGTATTCTAATCGCTTTGTTCCTCTGCTTATATTATTGGTCATCTTAAGAAAGCTTTCATCAAGCTATTATGTGACATCATGGAGATTTGAACGTAGTGAAGATCAGTGTTTAATGTGATTACGTGATTTGATTTTGTTATTGGTAAATCACGAATGCATTAATTGATACGAGAATAGTGGTGTCTTGTGGAATTGGATGATGGAATCACCATGAAGATGTGAGAACAAGTTCCATGATAATTTCACATGAAGTCGTGAAACAAAATATCTGATGATATCATTGATACAACCCCCATCATCATAGTGGCATTATATCTTGGTAGAAATTTCATAATTTAGTACTCTAAGAAGCATATGACAGTCTTACATTTTATAACATAAGCCAAATATTTAGTAGATCAACATTATGTAAATGGGGTTCAATCTTTACTACAAGATCTAAGTATTTAAATCTCAACACCTTAAGTTTTATACAATGACAATAGTAGTGCTACATATGCTAGTGCAAATCCAATCTTTCACTCTCAAGTGGCATTCGACTATCGCTTTATTTATGAACAAGTTACTGAATAATTATTTTATGCTACTCATGTGTTTACTGAATATTAGATATCTAAGCTCTTATTATCAAAACTTGAGACGCAAAATTGGTGTTTTTGATGAATTGTACCATAAAGGCATTTCAAGGAATGGTAGCTAGAGAAACTCAATTTGGTTAAACTAATAAAAGTTGATTGTTATGAGTCTTTAATCAATTACGTTGGTGCATACATCAAAAAATGCCAACAAGAATCCCCATGGATTGAGCTGCTACGACGGAGCTTCAAGAGATCGAAGTCCTGTGCCAAAGAGCGAGGTAGACACACCAAGCGGTCGGTCGACTACACAACTAAATTGAGCAATTGATTATCTATCGACTGACCATCAACCGAGTGACCGAACAACTTTGATCGATCGACTGCATCCCTTGACAGAAGTAATCTGCTACAGCCAGTCGACATTATCGGTTGAACCCGAAGCACCTGGCAATCGACATACTTTATATTTTCTCTATATTATAATGTAATTGGCATTCGACGGACACATCGATTTAATTATTTGGGCGATTATAATAAATGTTCCCACCTTTTTATGTAATTGTATCTTGAGACTCCTATAAGTAGGTGGTCATGACATAAATGAAGAACAAAACTTTCCCTCTCACTCGACTTCATCTCTCTTTCTTTCCCTCCTAGCTCTAACTCTCGGGACATGTTTATGAGAAGACATTTTAGGATTCAAAATCCTAAAAGGTGGCACGATGAGCTTGGACATGCCACAAACAAGAAGTAGAGCACACTACGATGGAGAATCGCAGCAAGAGGTGCAACATTGATGGAGTTCACAAGAGAATCAGTGAATCGAGAGATTCAGCGACAAGTGTAGGAGTTACAGAAGCAAATGATGGGCCAGTTTGAGGCCATTCAAGAAGCACTCAACTGAAGGAATGACAAACCACTGCTTCTAGAGTTTGGATATTGGGGAGCTCGTTGATCTCGACTATTTATATGCAACAGTATTACAATAGCTCTGATTATATTTTTCACTTATATTTTCTTATTTTACAACAAAATAAAAAAACTTGATCCTGAAAAAAAATAAGAATTTACTTTTTAATTTATATATTGTGGGATACTACGCAAGTATACGTATCGTTATCAAGTAATATAAGACTTTTCTGATTAAGATCTGAATATTGAACCCACAGGGAAATGATGCAATTTGCACTTTTGAAAACTTTATATTCTTAAAAAGACAATTATTTAAACTATAGATGTTTTTGCAGTAATGAAAGTTTAAATATTTTTGGTATTTTTGATATTTTGATAAAACAGTAATAACTTAAAAAGATAATTTGAGTTTTTGTAGAAGAAAATCACTAAATATAAAAATATCTTTTTCTCTATAATGAATTAGTAATAAATATATGAATTCTATTGTGGATGTATGTAAATTGTGTTGTGCCAAATATAAACAATAATATTCTTTACACTTACTAGAGATACTATAAAAAACATTGACTAATTTAAAGTTTGAATAGTTCTGAAGACCGACTAGGCAGGGAAGATACTGGCTCTCACTCTAGAGTTCCCTCGATTCCCTCCACCTGGGGGGTAACATCTTGTATCAGAACCTAAAATAATAAACTAAGTTGGAGGCTTTAACATGTCACTTTAAAGTCCTCTAACTCTACACCCTTCAATGAATATTTCCCTATTTATTTGCACTCAATCATATGAACTACATTCTCATTCATACAACCTTTCTACCATTAGTTGACTGAGACAATATCATCACTGATCTTACATGTTCTCATAATAAATATTAACATCTCAATTGGCCAAATCAAGAAATAAATGAAGTACAATGATTAAATCATCATAACTTATTCCAACATTATAGATCAATACTTTTCACAACTTTCATCCAATACTTAATTACTTATCATTTTAAGAAGAAAGATAAAGTAAATTACTTAGAATCCATGGAGAAAATAAAACCATACTTTAGTTTAAAAGTAGAAATTATTGTCAAACCAACAAAGAGTCTCAATTAAAACCAAATGCAGTGTAAAACCAAAGATAAAAACTTATCTCAAGTCCTCCACCAAACTCTTGAAGTTCCTTTGAATCTCTTCTTGTTTACAACACTCTCAATATAAAACTAAAATAAAAAGGATAAATTTCAAGCACACACATCTTCAAAGTTTCAATCTTCCTTCTTTTATAATTTTCCAATAGGTGTCTTGGTGTCTTTTCAAAATATGTCTTGATCCGATGTATTTCCCCAAGAGATGCCTCCTTTCACAAGTAATTTCATCATTGGTGGTTGTAACCACCTATTTATGCCAAAAGGTGCCTCAAATACCTCTTCAAAATTTGCAAAACCAAATTTACTCATCAAATAATTGTCTCTAGTGCTTAAGCGCGGGCCTCTGGCTCTTAGGCGCCACATTCTCTATTTAACCGACGCTTAAGCGCCCGATCTGGCGCTTAGGCGCCAAAATACTTTAGCACAATTTTCACCTATTTGCTCCAATTTTGATCATTTTTCACTCATTTAAGTATTTTTCACCTTTTTACTTGTACCTGAAAGAAAAACACAAAAATATCTTCCATTAAAGCGCAATATCTCAAAAATAGGTATAAAAATGTGTCTAAAAATACTATATATTATAGGTGTATCACTCGCCCTCAAGGAATTCCTCTAGAGAATCCACCAGCGCCCAAATGTCGTGTGAGCAATTGAGCGACTGAAGAGCAAGGAGATTCCTAACATGTGGGCAACACTGGATCTACGCTGATGGTTAAGCATCAAGTAGAGTGTGTCAAAGAATCTATTTAACAACCCGAATATAGTGATTTCACTCAGCATTTCATTGAGATAGTACCCCTGATAAAGTTGAGGATTCCTCATTTAGATCTTCACATGTGGAAGAACGATTTGACGGATCATGTGACCTTTTTTGAGTTCTCGCAGTGTTAGCTTTTCTTAACAACACTGAAGGATTTAGCTCTTCAGCGATTCCTCAATCCACCGGTTGTATTATTTCAAAATTTGCTGAGTTTAAGAAACTCTTTGTGGTGCACTTCACCAATGTACAGATGCCG